CTAATGTGGGGCTCTGGGGCAGCCAGCCAAGAGCACTGGGCACGAGCATTCAAGGCTGGACTGCCAAGACACAGAAGCATCACAGAGCAATTATGTCCTTTTTCAGGAGAAGTCCCATGAAGGAAAACACCCGATCTACATCCCAAAGGAATTGGCGCTTTTAGCACCCAGGACAGAGGTCAGGATACTCAGAGGTGGGTTACGAGTCCCCTCCATGACTGAACCCAAAAAGGACTTGGCAAAGCTTACAAGGGCCTGAGGATAAATGAGACAGGGGCAGGTGATCAGGGCATGTCTCTCACACGCATCTAACCTGGGTGGGACCCCCACACCACAAAGTCTCCCAAGCATTACTGGGTATAGTTCTGGAGGCTCCCAAGTATCTCTGGCTATGGCCCACCCAGTCAGTTTAATACTGCTAGGAGTAGGAGACTTTGGGGTCCCCTGATCACAGCTTGAGAACCTCTCCATCACCATCCTCCTCCGCCACCACTTGAAGAGGGAGTGAGAGAGAGAAAGAAAATGAGATAGGGGAGAAGGAGAGAGAGGGAGAGAGAGACACACAGAGAGAGAGAGAGAGAGAGAGAGAGAGAGAGAGAGAGAGAGAGAGGTGGTGATGGTAATTTACGTAGAACAGAAAGTTAAGGATTAATAAATGAAAAGTTAGAGAGTTAAGAAAAGCTTAAAATAAGCTTTGAAAGTTGAAAAGTTTAGATGTAGTATTGTAAATCCTTAGTTCTTAGGATTTTCACTGGTTTACTTGAAAGGAACAACAACAAAAAAAATGTATGACTCTGTGCCCTGAACACTAAATAAAAACAATGTTCAGTGTTGTAATAAATACAAATAAAACCTGCAGTAACCGGACTTCTGAGAATTTATCATCCAGACAATGCTCAGTTACTCAGAGGTGATCCTCCACATGCATTCAGGACCCCGAGACCCCCATCTTACAGTTCTGCCTCCCGAAAATCTCCATCCAGCTAGTACAAGGACCAAGGCCAAGTAAATATTTCTGGCTTTGCATGCCACACAGTCTCAACTGTACCATAGCACAAAAGCAGCCATAAACAAAAGTGTGGGCTGCGTTCCAATAAAACATTATTTATAAAAACAGGCAGTAAGCCAGATTCGGCCCCCAAGCCTGGTGCTAAGCCCGGACCTCTGGAGGAAGAGAAGCATACGCAGACCTGCACGAGGCATCTCTGGTTACCAGCGGCTCATAGCGCTTCATTGACCAACAATGTGATCAATGAAGGGCCTAGCTGCCTTGTTGAAAAAAGGAAAAGGAAGAAATCTGGCTTGGTGAACACAGCTGCCTATTTTCACTTTCCAGCTTCAGGAGGGAGGACAGCTGAGTGTTACAGAAGCATAGGCACAGGCTGTGAACGAAAGGTTGAAAATGGTACAACAAACACCCAGGTATATGGTTTCAGGCAATTATTTACTGCTGATGAGGCAAAAATTACAAATTGTGATGTTAACCCCACCACACGTGAACTGATAATGATGGCAAACTACCTGTGATTTAAAATCAAATTGCAATTTTAAAACACAAACCGCTCAATATCAATAAATAGCTGGATAAAACATTTTCCTGACAACTACAAGAATTCTACCTCTCCTTGGAGGCAGAGTGAAGTGTGAAGTAGGAGTTCTGCAGCATGCCAAGGCTTGTAATGTCCAGACAACTCAGGACTGGCACCAATGGGGACAAGAACTGTGCACACATCACAGCCAGGTCAGTTTCCTCTGGGGACAGAGCTGAACCCTACCGACTACGGAATGGACTGCTCTGAGGCTGGGAGAGGACTGAGAAGAAGAAGAGAACACTGTCAGGCCAGGCACCTAAGGACAGCCCACATGGGGTCCTAATACACCCTGCCAGGACAGGCACCTGAAGGCAGCCCACGTGGGGTCCTAATGCACATTCCCAGGCCAGGCACCTAAGGACAGCCCACATGGGTCCTAATGCACGTGCCAGGACAGGCACCTGAAGAGAGCCCACATGGGGTCCTGATGCACATTCCCAGGCCAGGCACCTGCGGGCAGCCTATCTGGGATCCTCTCTCTCTCCTGCTTCATAACCTTGGCTGCCACATGTCATATGGCCGCATTCTAAGAGAACATGGTGCCTGGATGACTGTGAAGGAAAGAACTCATTGCTTCGCCCCAAGCCTGTGGTGAATTATACAGTAACCACAATGAGCAGTGCGTGGGACCAGGTCACTGACCTCTGAGGTGCTTTATTACAGTCGATGCCCTACCCAACTCGTGCACTTTAATCATGATTAATTTTCTGCCTCCACAAAAGAAACACTCGTTTACCACAATGCACGTCTTCATTCCATCAGAAAGATCTTCATCACCCATATGGGGCTGGGAAGCAGGACCAGAAGCAAGTTGAGAGCAGGGCCATAGGAAACTGGTCTGCTATCCTGCGGTGGCTTATTCAGAACATGTTTTTCTACCACATACTACCTACCAAACCTCAGGCTGGGAATTACAAATGTCTGTCCTTACTGTTAGCATCTGGAGGGAAAATCTTAAAATTTTTAAAGACGTTTTATTTTAATATTATTAATATTAATATTCTATTTTTAATATATTCTGCGTTGTATTATATATTGTAGCACTGTAGCACTGTCCTCGCGTTATTCATCGATTTGCTCAAGTGGGCCCAGTAACGTCTCCATTGTGAGACTTGTTGTTACTGTGCTTGGCATATCGAATATGCCACGGGTAGCTTGCCAGGCTTTGCCGTGCAGGCGAGATACTCTGGGTAGCTTGCTGGGTTCTCCGAGAGGAGCGGAGGAATCAAACTTGGGTCGGCCGCGTGCAAGGCAAATACCCTACCCACTGTGCTATCACTCCAGCCCATATATTGTATTATATATAGTAATTATATATAAAGGGCTGGAACGATAGCACAGCAGTAGGGCGTTTGCCTTCCACGCAGCAGGCCGATCCAGGTTCGATTCATCCGTCCCTCTTGGAGGGCCCAGCAAGCTACCGAGAGCATCTCGCCCGCACGGCAAAACCTGGTACACTACCCGTGAGGTATTCGATATGCCAAAAACAGTAACAAGTCTCGCAATGGAGACGTTACTGGGCCCGCTCGAGTATATATAATATATTGATATTTAATATTAATATTAAAAGGCACCATAATACACACACTGTATATGTGTGTGTATTTTATATATACTGAAATAGCTCTCATCTGATAGAAGTAGCAAGCATTAATATTTACATCATCGAAATCTGCCAAAACACTCCCTCACTAACCATGGCAGCCCATACATGGCATAAGTAGCCTGAGTATATGACAAAAAAAGATTCGAGGACACTTGTTTTCCCAAATGCTACCAGAATTTTGAAATATCATTTTCCTATCATTTCTCGCCTTTGACTGTAAAGTGTTATGTCACCCAATCTCTGTTACCTCAGATGTTTTTAGCAATTTTCAAAAAAAGATCAGCGAAGAGAGGGAAAAATACGTATTTTTCTACTTATCTCTGCAATTTTTAGAAGATCATTTTCTTATTTTTTTTTTATGGTCCATACCTTGCAGCGCTTAGGGGTCCCTCACTGCTATGCTTGTGAGATCATTTGCAGTACTAGGAGTCAAACCAGGGTTGGCTCAATGTAAGGTAAGCACTTTATACCAGTAAGTACCTCTGGCCTGTAATTTAGCACTTAAAGCAAGATAAAAAGTACGCTAAGCAAAAAACCAAAATAACATACTTGAAAACAGCAGATAAAACTACGGACTCTTTAATAAAATATTAATATCTTATGATAAAATGTTATTTCTTTGGCATATAATCTATAAAGAAAACGGAACACTCCCTAAATACACAGCAAGTATCTACTGATCTTTAAAAAACAAAACAAAAAAAACCAAAACACTGGTCTTTGTAAGTTTTAAAAGCCAGCATTAAAGAGACATCAGCGATTCAGAGAGAGGACAAACAGAACCAACAATCTGCTTACAGTGGGGCGAAATAGTTTTGTGTAATGTGTGTGACACATGCAAAAATATGGAGCAATCCAGGGATTTCCCATTTGAGTCCTGGGTCGGTTTATGTACACTACCATCACCTAGTTACTCAAGCAGGCATTACTTTCCTTGTTTAAACATGGCCACAAAATTACTAGCCAGGATCTACACTCAAGACTATATACTCTCGATTACTATTGTATTCCTCTGCAACGGCTTAAAAGTCAATGAACTCATCTCATTTTACGCTTGCAATTTCCTTAGTAAGCTATCCTACCTTTAATATCTGCAAGGTCCGTGGTCTTATTTAAACACAGATATTCCAACTTGTACTACAATTTTAAAAGGTACCATAATACGAATAGCTTTTTAAAAATCTTTATCATGACAAAAATATTTTTATGACTATAAATCGTCAATCAGATACTACTTAATCTAGTTTTAGTACCCACAAAGGCCACTGGATTTCAATACACACACATACGTATTTCTAAGTAGCTATTTAGTAAGGACAGATGCCGCCTATAAAAAAGCAATTCATACTTAACTTGCATATGCCAGTATTTCTGAAATATTATGGGCCGCCATTGGTGCACTAATCCATTCCAGATAGCCCATGAATGAATCCCTGGAAAATAATAACTAGAAAAACAAAGTATATCCTAATTTTCTGGTTTGAATTAACACTCCCTAGTAATTCACTATCACCAAGTCTCCAAAAAGTATGCCCTTTTCTCTGCTGAATTTCTGACTGACTGACCTAAGTAGAAATAAACTCGAGTGGAGATTAACAATCTTTAATCCTTCTAAAATAAATTCCAAAGATGCATGCAATGTTGCCAGGCTCCATAATTAATTACAAAAAAAATAAGATAAGAACTTTCTGTCAAGTACCATAAAAGGAATTTAAAATATTATTAAGCATTTAAAGGGCTATTCGATACTTTCAAGTACAAGATTTTCCAAATTAGCACAACTGCCCCCATGGAAAGCTTACCTTGAAGATGGCATGATATTTGAAGCCCTGAATTTTGCTGTAAACGGATTAGTTGACTCATAATCAAAATAGTCCTGACGGTTTTCACTAAATGTATTAGGTGATTTCAAGTCACAGGGGCTATCAGAGCCCCCATTGTTAAGCTTATCAGATCTTCTGCTATCTTTTTTCCCAGTCACTCGTTCAAAGAGGCTAACTTTCTCCCTTTTTTCCCTCTTATTTTCTTTTCTTACTTCAACTGCTTTTGAAAATAAATTCACGCTGCTGTCCCATGATTCACTGCTCTCTTCAAATGGATTTTTCTTCCTTGGCAGTGTTGCAAATTTTTGGGGTAATGAAGCAGTCACATTTGTAAATGGGTCATTTTGTCTTCCAAGAGACAGTCCACCTTCATCCACGCTCCTGTCAGGCTGGCTGGTTTTAGAAGTATCAAAGCTTAATGTTCTTCTGTGTGGAGATTTGAGACTTCCTGCAAACAATTTTGTAGTCAGTACATAATCAGTGACACATTACATCACACAACTTGACACATTCTGTGTGCGGACGGCTGCTTTTAGAAAGACAGCAATTAGCTATTTAAAGACATTAACCTTTAGAATAATCAAGGAAAACAATCAAAAATGCTCAGGTATAGCATACTGAAGTATGGAGGCGAAGAGCAATTAGCATACTGCGAGGCAATTAGTAATTTATTCAGTTTATAAGAAACACTTGCATACATTAGAATGTCAAAACTAAAGGTTCTGGCTTGGCATGACAATGCTATAAGTTCCCAAAGACTTCTCCTCCTTCGCTAACATGGAATTTATTTCTCCAGAACAGAAGACAGTTTTCTCTAGAAACTTTCTGATAAAATGGAAGATGAGTTTTTCATTTTTCTGAGACAGGAGAAAGAGCAGTAAAAAAGGAGTTGGGCCATAAAAAAAAAATTCATTGTTGTTTTCATCTAACGATATAAACACAATACTGAATATGTTTCTGCCTTCAATGAACTCCACACTTTCAAGCACAGGCAGTGACCAAATAAAAGATGCCACCAAGAAATAGCAATTTTTACTTGCTAATTTGAAAACTGAAACGTAAAGACCACTCCTTAAATTTATTGCAGCATGCAATAAAAACTCCTTAAATTTACTGCAGCATGCCACTTCCATCTTACTGATTCAGACCACTCAGAACGTAGCTGGAAAGAAAACATCACTTACCACCTTCCGGAACTGCTCCAAAGGCATCCAACTGCTGTGTGACGAGAAGCCTCTGGCCAATGGCGCCGGACTTGAGCTTCTCAGAAGACACATGGGTCCCAGTTAAGTCAGACATTGAATGAGCCGAAGAGAGTCGCTGAGGACCCAAAAGGAAAGGCTTTTTTGGTTTGGATTTCATCTGCATTTCACTACTGGAAAATTCAGTATTGGCATCAGGCATATGAGAACTTGGAATGATCGCAGAAGATGTATCGGAAAAGGTCCCATCATTCTTTCTACCTTTCATTTTATCTTTTAATTTTGCAAAAGGAGATCTTGTTTTGTCCTTCATTGATAAGTCAAACATGCTCGCTGTCATATTGTTCCTCATAAATTGAATATTGACCTTTATCTCACCCCTGTTTTTGGCTCTTTTTCCTTGTTTGGATTCTAATCTAAACCACCTTAAAGAGAAGGGAAAAACATGGGTTTGGATATGGAACAAAGAGAAGAAATGGAGCATTGTTATAAACAAACAGCTATTTAGGTAAAGCCACTCTGTACGTCCAAGCAATTCAGGATTGGATCCGAGACTGCCAATCAGGTTCCTGCCATTCACCGTCCCATGCAAAAAGCAGATCAGGGCCTCTGCTGTGACACAGGTGGGAGGGCAGGGCGGGGCTGCAGTCGGACTGCAAGGTGTGGACAGGTAACCTGCACCTCCATGACCAGAAACCCTATCGCCAAACACCCTCACTACTGTGTTTCCATCTGCGATTAGTAGAAAATGGTCTAAGAACAGTTTCTTTCATCATCATAAAGACACCGAGGAGACTCTCAAAGAATTCACCAACATACACTATTTTTAAAACCAGGAACTGATAACAACCTTTTTTTGGTCTTTGGTTTTTGGTTTGGGCCACACATGGCTGCACCCAGGGATCACTCCTGGCTCTGCACTCGGGGACCACTCCTGGTGGGGCCTGGAGACCAGATGGGATCCCCAGAATCAAATCCTGGTTGACCACAGGCAAGCCAAGTGCCCTACCTGCTTTACTATTGCCCCAGCCCAATGACTCCAGCCCAACGACCCTACTTTAAATAGCATAATATTTAATTCCCACCCCAAACTATTTTGGTAAAATGAAGTGTTAATATTGCAGATGATCATAGTTTAATAGTTATGAAAACTGCTTAGGAACCAAAGCCTTTTACTAAGTAAAATATGCAAAATAAGTAAGATGTTAAGTGGCATGCCGCAATAAATTTAAGGAGTTTTTGAAGGAAAAACTTAAGCTCTTTCTGCTACAAATCTGTTTTGTTTACTACTGCTGCTGTGGCAATAATGAACACAAACTATTTAATTGGAATTAATCTTATGTTTTTAGTCATTTTAATGTATCACACTTCCCATTTTAAATAGATGTACTTGAAACGCCAGGCTTATTTTAGTTTGCTTACAGTCACTTTTTCTTTCATGAGAAAGTCTCTACTTTTTTGGTGTTACAAAGTGGACATTCTATAGGGCAAAAACCAAAAGCTGCAATCACAATCACATCCAGAAGAGTTTCCAGTGTTTCAACAGCACCTAACAATGAAGCCTAAATACTCAGTCCTGAAGATGAGTTATTATTTGAGTAAAGCTCTAATCAATCAAGTGTAACAAATTTCCAGCTACAAAGAAACTCTGATCTAATTTTAAGTTAGTCCTTTCTCTCATCATTGCCAGTCAGAGAGGCCAGAGCAGCTTACATTTTTACTAAGTGTCATGTGGAAGGTAGGTCATGGGTCCTTCACGGCAGGAGGGGAAAATGGCAAAATAAGTACACCAGTTACATCTTAGCAGCAAATACACAGAAAAATGCTGTCTGGATATTTGTATGCCGTCAATCAAATCTAAAATCTAGTGGCATCAAAACAAAAAAACTGAAGACACACTAAGATATTTTATAACAGAAAGCACTAAACTGAGACTCTAACTGAGAAGATCCCTTACAGGGGCAGATGACAGAAACTGAAGATGCAGGGAATAGAAATAGGAAGTGACAGCAATGAACTCTGCCGGAGAGTTTATTAAATTTATTGGGAGTCAATACTAAGAATACAGTTCATAGTCAAATTTTGGCAACTGTGATGTCAGACTGAACATCCCGAAAGCCTGGGAATGAAAGGTCAGGTACCTAATTATTAACTCAGTTTTGGAAAATGGCCATTTTCGTGATGGGGAGGAAGACTTCCCAGGAATGGCACCTCAGAAATACTCTGTAACACTTCAAGTTGCACAGAGGTAGGCAAATGCACTTTGTAAGAAACTATACCAGAACCTAAACAAAAACCAACAACAATAACAACAACAACAAAAAAACACCACAAGCTTGTGGAACACCCATGCGCATGACAAATCAAAGGAAATCTCTGAAAATCTTAAACCAATAATCCAATAAATGGAAAGAGAGTCATCAAAATTTATTGAATCTTCAAACTAAAACCAAACACATCATCTACGCTAACGTTCTTATTTTATATGAATGTGAGGAAATTGAGGAACAGCGCATAACTAACTTCCCGATGTCAGATTAAAGCCAATAAGGGAAAAAAACATCCAAAGCTGATGAGTAACACCTGCACAGGAACGATGCTTTCATATTGGTGAAGCACATGTGCTAATAAGGTTAAGCCCAGTGCCAGCCAAGTATTCCAGGCTGTTCATCGGGCAACACCAACGCAGAAGGTAACGCCAGTTTTCCATTGCTAGAGTGCAGGCCCCTTGAAGGCAGGGGGGCGAAAGCATTTATACTTCTAGAGTTATACTCTTAAAATAACTGAGCCACAACTCACTCTCTCTTTCTGTGTGTGTGTGTGGGGGGGGGGGGGGGGTGGGTGTGTATGTGTGTGTGTGTGGTGCTGCTTTGATTTGGAAGAGGTGAAGACACGAGCTCAAAAGAATAAAGCAAGTCAGTGTTGGAGTGCAATCGGTAAATACTGCTTTTATCTATTTTACTCTCCCCCCCCCCCCAAAGTAAAATCCTGAAGGTCTTTAGCAAATATACTGGTGTAAAATACAGAGACAGGACAAGTAGCTTTTGCTGCTTTATTTGAAAGTGATATAATCAGGAAGTCTTAATGAGACCTTCAAGAATCACTCCAGAAATAGTCTTGTTTTCTCAGACTTCAGAAAGATAAAAATGAAGACACAGCATTGGTGGCTTAATGGATGAATGCTGTGTGTTCGGTTCTTGTTTTTTTCCCGCCTCTGGTAGTGCTGGATTTTAACTATCGACGGCCTCTGCTTGATTTTAGTGGGCACGGGTCCATGCTCCAAAACCACCACACATGTGGGAACTATTCCCAAGCAATTGGTGCTGTGTGGTCAGAAATGGGACAAGATTGGCATTGAGGGTGCCAGAGGGCAGGACGCAGGTGCATGACAGCAACGCACACAGAAGTCTTAAAAATGGCCTACGTTTGAGTCACTCCTTAACTCCGCGGACTTGGAGGGTTATTACATTTCATGAACATTAAACACACACACACACACACACAATCAACATCACTTATATAGTAAAAAAAAAAAATTCAATAGATATTACCTAACAGCATGAACAATTTTACCATTCTATTATTAAACATTGTATTATTTCCTTAAATCTCGTGCCAAAAGCAACCCAGACAGCCATTAAAGTGGGAGATACAGAAGTCGCCTTCCCAACCCCACTCTAGAGTGTTCTGGCTCAGGTCCTTCCCTGGGGGCCCCTTCTTTAAAAAAAAGGGGGGGGAGGATTTGATTTCAAGGTAAAAGTGAAATATTCATTTTAGTCGGCACACTTCTTTGCCCACCAGGACCCCGGTGGAAGACAGGCTATAAATAGTTGTCTTCGGTGTCAAAAGTAAGAAGTGTCACTCCCCACACTTTCATGGACCTTCAAAATCAGCTGGAAGCCTTCATCACTTTTACTGGCTTTCCGAAAAGCACTTGGGAATAAGCTTACGAGGCCCAGCAACGTGCAGAATATTAATACCTTTCTCGCAATATACCCGTGGCTAGAGTGTGTCTCTTCCAGTGCCACATGTACAGCTGTGCTGGAAAAGGAAGCTATTAAATATATTAAAAAACTAGAAATATTACCAATAAAGCTATCTCATCAAATATATGGTCCCCATTTATCCACAAAGAAAGAAAAGGTTGAGGATTTAATAAAATAAAAAAAAAATAGCTTTGACTGTAATAATGCCACAAGTCCTGTGGAACACGTAAGCATCTACCCAAAATCATTTTACTCGATTCTGTATGGAGAATTCCAATAGGGAAAACAAAAATATTAAAAGTCAAATGCATTGCAATTATGATGTTGCTGAAGATACAGAATGCAAGAAAAAAAAACATTTTAAGCTTATTTTGTCCCGGCTGGAGTCAACAGTTGGAACTATTTTCACTTGGAGAGGTTCTATTGCAGAGGCCTATGTGTGATACAGGACACATTAAAACTAACTATAGTAGCACGGAATCTGATGCTATAATAAACTGAAAAGTTTACATTTTAAAAAACTTTAAAAATTATATCCAAAACTGGTCATTTAAAACAAATTTTTTGGTAATTATCCATTTTTCACATTTTAAAGCAAAATTTTAATTTTAACTTAAGAACCGAGCGGAAACCAAACATCACTCTTGGAACATTTCATTTAATCTGAGATATAGTCACCTTATACTTAAAAAACTTTCTCTCCTTTTCCTCAAAATATTTTCATTTCCTCAACTAGCTTAAGTATTTACTGATTTTCCTCTGGCAGCCTTTGTTTCTCATCGAATTTTTCACCCTACATGATATTAAACCTTCAGTAAAGACCTGATTTTAAAAAGTAATGTAAATTTGTATCTCACCGTGATTCAATTAAAAAAAATAATAATACTTTGTAACCTTTTAGGCATGGTTTTGGTATTAAATAAAACATAACGACTCATCTTTAAACACAACAAATGGCCAGTTTACCTAAAGAATTTATACAGATTCAATTTAATTCCTATAAAAGATCCAATGTCATTCAAGGACAATGAACAAATGAAATTAAAGTTCTATGAAAGTACTTTTTAAAAATAAAAAGTAACCATAAACTCCAATAAAGAGAAGTTTGCAGAAAGAGATACACAGAAAAGAGTAAGATGGTTGTTTTAAAAGAGATAAAATGAATATGAATGTCAAGAAAGTCGTCATTATTTAAAAAGTTTCTCAAAGGGCAAATAAATTTCAGGTATGACTTAAAAAAATAAATTAAACAAACCAAAGTCATCATTTTTGAAAACTGAAGTACTCTTATTAATTCACCTATATTTTTCTTATAAATTCCATCACTATTAAAGTTCCCTCAGCCTAGAGAAACTGGAAAGTTTTAAAAGGGATATCTCTGAGAGTATTTCTCAACATAAGACATAATATTCTAGCATTAATCTACATTACAACTTTGCAAGTAGAAGACATGTATCCTCTGCTTGAAAGTTCTACTAGTAAGGACATGTTTTAATTGAAGGTGTCGAGAAATCATTTGATCACAATTTAATCAGTGTCCATTCTGGCAGCATTTAATAAGGTCAAAACACACAGGCTACTTCTGAAGTAATATACCAGTTTCGATATTATTGTAGACTCAAGGGAAAAAGTCAGTGTGGACAAAGTGAATAATGTTTGCTGTACTCTTACCATTACCCAACCCACTCTTTTTCATTCTTTGAATTGCATTAGACTCTATCAAGATGTACTGACCTAAAAAAAAAAAAAAGGTTGAGCTAAAATACAGGCCAACCAACTATAATTCGGTAAAATGAACTAAGTTCTAGTTTGGTTTTTCATCCTTTAACAGCTTCTGTGGAACACGTAAGCATCTACCCAAAGTCATTTTACTCAATTCTGTACGAAGAATTTCAATAGGGAAAAGAAAAATATTAAAAGTCAAATGCATTGCAATTATGATGTTGCTGAAGATACAGAATGCAACAAAAAAACATTTTAAGCTTATTTTTGTCCCGGCTGGCGTCAAGAGTGGGGGTTACTTTCACTTGGAGAGATTCTAAGTGCCCCATACAGATGTTGATATACACAGGTAGATACATACATGTGTGTATCTACCAAATGTCTCCTAAAACTACAATGTTTCAAGATCCTAACTACCTGCACCAACTTTAGCTGGTCAACGAAGTAATCGCCTGGATGGCCTCCTCTAGTTAGTGAAACTTGTACAACAAATCCAGCGCAAACTATCCAATCATTTAACGTGCTTAATTCCAACAGGCGTGAAAACAGATCGCTGATCCATTTTTTAAAACGTTTCTTCGCGAGGGTTATTATTTTGTTTAAACTTCGGATCCATGCAAACAAACATGGTGCTTCAAACTGGGTATATCTTTCCATGCAAAAACCAATGGCCCGGTTCGACAGATTATTTCCAAGCCCAGGAAAAATAAAGAATAAAGAAAAAAAACAAATAAAAACCAGAAATAAGATGTCAAACTGTCCGTGAAGCCCCCCACCCCAAATTAAAATAAATGACTTACTCTGTTTTCCTTCTTTCTTTGTCCTCAAAGATGTCATTGAGATTGATTGCCACCTGCCCTAAAAACTTATCCAGGCCCACCAGGGACCTGTGCATCACTATGAGGAAGAGGATATATTTCTCGGGGTTCCCCTGCATGAGCAAGCCGGGGAGCTCGAAAGAGGCCTCTTCCTTCCAGACTGGCTGCAGGGTTTTCTCCGCCACCGAGGTGGAGTACTTCTCCTTGCCCAGCTGAATGATCGTGTATGTGTCATTGGTGCCACTTTTGCCTTTGGGCCGCAGGTCTTTGGCTTGGAGCACTGTCACCTGCACGTGGGTGGGGAACCACTTTTGGGCTTGTTCCGACAGCATCATCCTGCCCCTCGTCGCGGCCCCGGAGCCGGGCAGTTGCAGCCGGTGGAGGGGGGGAGTCAGAGGGGTCGGGGAGGTGGGGGGGAGGGGGGAGCCTGATGCCTCAATCACAGCATCCTCGGGGGGTGCCGGGCCGGGCCGGGTGTCCCAAGCTGCCGCTCAACTTCTCCCGGGCCGCTGTCAGGCCGCCGCGGGGCGGGGAGGGGGTCCCCGTTCCTCTCGAGGGGCGCCGGGGCCCGACCCCCACCCGGTCAGCCGCGCCTACCGGGCCCGGGCGCGGGCGCGGTGCGACCCCCCCGAACGCGCGCGGGTCCCCGGGGGGCCGCGCTCGGCCTCCCTCCCCGCCGCCGCCGCCGCCGCCTCCGCGCCGCCCGCCGGCCCGGCTCCTCCTCCCGACCCCGGTACTACGAACCGCCGGCGGCTCGCGCGGCCTCGCTCCCGCGCTCCAGCCTCGCCCTCCTCCCCCGGGCCTCGGCTCCTCCTCTCGGGCGGGGGCGTCGTTCGCCCCGACGCCGGCTCAGGCCGCGGGGCGGGCGGCGGGCGCGGGGCTCGGCCTGGCCGGGCCGGCGGCTCCTAGCACCGGGCAGCGGCGGCGGCGGCGGCGGCACTTCCGGGTTGGCCGCCGAGCGGAGCACGGGACCGCCAGGGGGCGGGGCCTCGGGGTCAGAGGTCAGCACCTCCCCGGTTGCCGTGGCGACGGCGGGCGCGCGGCGCGGGCGTGGCCGCGGCGGGGCGGGGCGGGGGCCGCGCGGGCCGCTGGAGCGCCGGCGGCTCGGCCCAGACCCGGGCGGGGGGCTGCGGGGAGACGCGCCGCTCGGGCTCCGGGACCTGCCCGGTGGCGGATTTCGGGAGCCGGTTCGGCGCTGGATCTTGGATGCCTGGATCTGGCCCGGAGCGGGCGTGGTGACAGCGCTGGCGGGATGCGTTCGGGTCCTTTGACCCCAAAGCACGCTCTCCCCAGCCCGTGTCCGCGCCTGGTTTGGAGAAGAGGGTTTGGAATGCCCCCTGCTCTGTCCCCATCACCGGCGGTCCTTGGAATGCCCTACCCTGCTCGGAGGAGGGAGAAGTGAGCAATAGAGGGCTCCAAAGAGGTTGTGGACCTGACCCCTGCTCTGACCCCATCACCTGCGGGCCTTGGAATGCCCTACCCTGCTCCGGAGGAGTGGGGAATGAGCAATTGAGGGTCCAAAGGGGCTCTGGACCTGCGCCCTGGTCTCTCCCCATCATGCGCGGGCCTCTGATGGAGCCCCCTCCCTGAAACCCAGTTTATTCACACGGGTGTCTGAGGTCAGATAGCTGCTCATCGTTCAAAGGTGTCCCTGGGCCCCCCTCCACGTGGAAGGCAGCCCCCAGAAATAACTGATTAACTGCCCTTGATTCGACAGAAAAACCAACAACCCACTTCACCACGGCCACCCACACAGTGACCTCACCTGCCCCTCTGAGGATAAGGTCTGATGCCCCCCCCCCCCAACTGTTGGAAGAGATCTTCGCCAAGGGATGTACAGCACTCTTACACACAGATGCGCATCTGCGCAAATCACACAGGGATGCCCAGATGTAGTGGGAAAATACAGGTGATGGTGGACAAGTCTCCAGAAGCCTTGCTTAAAGTCCTGGCTTTGCCCCAAACTCCTTCCTGAGGCACTGTATCACTGCCACTGTAGCACTGTCCTCCCGTTGTTCATCGATTTGCACGAGCGGGCCCAGTAATGTCTCCATTGTGAGACTTGTTACTGTGTTTGGCATATAGAATATGTCACGGGGTAGCTTGCCAGGCTTTGCCGTGTGGGCAAGGTACTCTCAGTAACTTGCCAGGCTCTCCGACCTGGCCGGAGGAATCGAACCCAGGTCAGCCCAGTAGGCCTCATGCAAGGCAAACGCCCTACCACTGTGCTATATTGGGGCAGCCTCGGTTACCTTCTCCATGAAGTCTTTTGTGGGACCTAGTGTAGTGTGGCACGCAATTCTAAGTCTTTGTCCCTTGATTTCTCAGCGAAGAGAGGCATATCGTGCCTTTGTGATATTTGTTGCTGTTCCTGTCCCCGCGTGCCAAGGACACTCTTAAGCTCTTTGACTTGCCTTGTGGATAATAGATTATCCCCCACAGTGCCTTAGTATGCAGTGGGCACTCGACTTATTGAACAACTGCATGCCTTTTGTGCCTTTACTACACCAATTTCGAGAGTGAACAATATGATAGGTTCACATACACCTTTCCAATTTAAAGTGGCCATAAAACTTGAAGGTATTGTGTTCGTTGGTTTTGGATTAGGTTTAAAACCTTTCATTGGCGACAGCCTGTTCTCCAGATTTTCTCAGTGTTTCCAAGTTTCCAGGATACCAACTGCAACACTTAAAAACGAAAACGAAGAGTGTCCTTTCATTGAAATATTTTATAAGGAAGTATCTGAGAGTCCAATATTTGTATCAGAACAAACAGAATTGAAAACCCTTAGTGGACAGAGAATAGCTTTATAGATTTTTTTGGTTTTGGTTTTGGTTTTTAGTTTTTTGGGCCACACCTGGCACTGCTAAGGAGTTTTTCCTGGCTCTGCACTCAGGAGTCTCTCCTGGCGGTGCTCAGGGGACCATATGGGATGCCCAGGATCGAACACAGGTCTTCCTCATACAAGGCAAGTGCCCTACCAGTGTACTGTCACTTCAGCCCCCATATTTTTAATCTCATGGAAAGAAGAGATTTTCTCAACTCTGGAGGACAACACTACAAATTTCAAAGACCACTCAGATTCCAGTACATTCTTTCGGGAACAATAACACTTGCAATATCTGCAGATTTCCTTTCATTGGTTAAAAACAGTTTTACAACACTGTGGTTGGTATGAGTTTACCAACTCATATCTCTCTATTATTTCAGCAGAACTAATAGAGAACTCATAATAACAAGATAACCATGTACAATAAAAGACGTGATTTAGATCATTCCAATGAAAGCTTAAAGATTTTTTTTAAGGAAATATTGCATTTGCAGCCACGCGACTTATTATTGTCTAGTTTTTGCTCTCAGAGAACCTGGCAGGCTACCAAAAGTATCCTGCCCGCATATATGCCTGCCTGGGAACACCTGTAAAGGTGATTAGAGGCTGCCCCCAAAGCCTCCATCCCTCTCAGAGAAACTGGCAAGCTACTGAGAGTATCCTGCCCGCATGGCAGAGCCTGGCAAGCTACCTGTGGCGTATTCGATATGCCAAAAACAATAACAATGATGGTTCTCATTCCCCTGACCCTAAAGAGCCCCCACTATGCCATTGGGCTACACTAGCACATGACAGGGACGAATGGAGACGTTACTGGCGCCCACTCGAACAAACGGATGAACAACAAGATGACAGTGATACAGTGATTTTTCAGCTCTCAGAAAAGGCCATGTGTGTTAACAGAACAATTCATTATACTGTGTGTCAACTTTAAAGAAAACTGTTCTCGGGAATTTTTAAAGCATTGAAACATTCTTCGGAGTGACACAAGTATCTTCAGGGAGAAATAATATGGCTCCTGAAATTTAAAAAAAATAAGCATCGTTCTTGGTGGTGAAAAATAAGTACTGGTGAAGGGAAATGTGTTTGATGATTGCATGAATCCGGAGAAAGAATCCGGAGTTCTGACATCCGTCGATGATCAAGAATCAGCTGATCTCATTTGCCAAATGGCTGTCTCATTTGCCAAGGTGTCGAAAATCAGATGGGCTGGTCACATAATGAGATTTAAAGACGACCGCTGGACTAGAGCTGTTACCGACTGGATTCCACAGGATGTCAAAAGACCGCGTGGCCACCCACCTACCAGATGGTCAGACTTCTTCGTCAAGATCATGAACGATCGGTTTGAGGCCCTTCGTGTTCCCGGAGCGAACAGATGCCATTGGGCTACACTAGCACGCGACAGGGGCAAATGGAGACGTTACTGGCGCCCGCTCGACGACTAACAGGAAGTTAAGTGATTAAGTGATTAAGCGATTGCATGACCGAGACTTAAACCTGAAAGCTTTCTAACTTTTCCCACAGTGATTCAATAAATAAATAAATAAAGCATCATAAAAGCCAAGGTAATTAAGTTTAGAACCTTTTGTATATTGCATTTTGAAAAAGCCTCATGTCTCTTTAAAGCAGGGGCAATTGTAGTAGTGGATGTCTGTTTCCAAAAAAATTAAATTATTTTGTAAAATTTATGAATGATTATAAATTTGCTTATAAGTCTTTCGCTCACTTGAAATTTTGCCATCTTCAGGGTGGGAGTTGGCAATCGGAGTCAGGAGCAGAGCAGTGACACCAGTCCCGCACAATTCAGGAAATGTTCTAAAGGCAGAGCTGAACAACTGGCATTACTAATATGTCATCCTATAGCGCCTGAATTTCTTTTGAGATTTCCCAAAACCCAGCTAGAGCCAAAATTGTTAAGTTTCACTATCTGGAAAATCAAGTGATGACTTAATGCGTGTTGGTGAGAGCAAGGCATGTTTTTGCCTCTGGAGAAATAAATATAAGAGCAAACAACAAAAATAAATGAGCTAAATAGAATCCAGAATTACAATACCAAAATGAAGTGATTTCCTTCCAGAGAGCATTTTCCTTTTCTGATTATTTGAATTAAGGGAGTGAAAGCATGTTAGTTGTGTCAAATACATGGTTGCCTCATACTGAATAAGAATGGAAAGTATGTAAGACCTGGGATCAAAGAGGTTTTTACAAAATGTTTACTGCCTTCCGGTTTAAAAATTCCTTTCACAGGGGGAGAATGCTGGTTCAAAGGGCTGGAACTCGTGTTTTGCACGTGGGGGCCCTGCGTTCAGTCCCTGGCATTGCTTTGTCTCCCAAAGCACAACAAGGTTTCCTGGCCCAGCAGCACTGGCTGTGGCCCAAAATAAATTCTGCAAATGGTGACTTATACATGAGTAGTGATTTTAAAAGGAAATAAGAATTGCCTGCCTGAGGACAGGATAACATACCAAATTGAAGAGCATTCCTTTTGAAAAAACATTTTATGACTTGATATGCCTAGAAATATGTATGTAATTTGCACACCCAC